TGGGCTGAATTTCAGACCTGCCCCTATTTGGGCCTTGAAGCGTGTTACTATTTTTTCCCAGTTTTTTTTCATTTTGTTCTTTCATTTTCTTTTTAGTTGATTTTCTCTTTAAGGTATTTTTGGGATGTTGGGTGAGTGTAAATGTATACCCACAGTTACAATACAATATTTATGTCAATTATGCTAGAGTGCAAAAATTACATTATTATATGCTTATTCTTTACATATTACGAAAGTGCAATTTCAGTGTAAAGATGTGTGCAATTATTTTATTTTATTTTTCATTTTCTATTTTAAAGAGTAATACGAATATCACTAATTCATTCTTTCTAAAAAAATCAATTTTGATATTGTTTTAGTTTTCTATTTTATTTTGTTTTTGCTTTAAGGGTAATAATAGTGTCACTAATTCATTCTTTCTTAGTTTGTTTTTTTGCAAAAAGTCCACTATATGCTTGTTCTTGCATAATTACAAAAAATACAATTTATGTATTTTTTTACAATTTGTGTTTTATTTTCTTTCTTCTTAAAGGGTAATACCGATGCCACTAATTTCTTCTTTCTTAGAAGACGTCGCTTTTTCATTTTTATTTTGTGTAAATATATACGCAAGTACTATAGAATGTTCGTGTAAATTATAAATTACACTATTATATGCTTGTTCTTTATATATTACAAAATACATAATTTCAATGCAAAGTGGTGTGCAATTGTTTTTTTTTATTTTCATTCTTCTTTAAGGGTAATAACAATGGCACTAATTCTTTCTTTCTTATAAAAAATTATTATTTTAATCTTAACTTTTTTCGTTCTTCTTTAAGGTGATGTCATTCCCTGATCCATGCTTACATAGAAAAAAGCATTCTTTTTTGTCTTACGTATTTCTTATGTGAGATAAAATGACTTGTACAATTATTTCTTCTGTAAAAAAAGAGATGTGCTCTTCTTTTTTCTGTTTTTCTTATTTCTTCTTTGAATTACCATGTGGTCATCTCCGCTGCGGAAACGACCAAATATATTTTGTGTATACCTATAATCCAAGTGATCTTTGTATCATTTTGTTGTCGAGTAAGAAAAAGTACTATGCGTACTATGTTTTATGCGTGAAAAAAAGATGGAGATTTCTGTAAACCACGAGTCAAGATTTGTAATTTCCAGCTGCTGATTTTGCCTACCAAGCACGTGCCCCTTATCTTATCTTGCAACAGCAGCAGTGTTGCAAACCACGACAGCGACAACTTAGACAAGCTTTTGCAACGTCATCTCTCTTAGAAAAGAATCTGCAACAAGATCTATGTTGCAAAAAAGTTCTGCAACAAGAACTTTGTGGCAAAAAAATCTCGCAACATAATCTATGTTGTAAAAAAATCCGTAGCACAATCTCTGTTACAAATGTTTCTGCAATAAGGTGTCTGTTGCAAAGTAGAGGAAAATGTTCAACGCTAGATTAGGTCTAATCCAACGACTCGTGAGCCGGCGGATCTTTTATAAAAATGAATAGAGAAAGTATGTTTTATGCCCGGAAAAAAGGATGCAGATTTCTGTAAACCACAAGTCAAGATTTGTAATTTCCAGTTGCTGATTCATTATTAGTGCACGATCAGAAAAAAAGGATGGAGATCACTGGAGTTGTTGAAATATAGACACCGTATACTGCTATTTTAGTGGATATTTTTCAGAAAGCTTTCAGAATTGGTCAGGTCTCTTTTGGTCATTGTCCTCTGAATGCAAACAGAGCGGCACACAATTTAGCTAAGTTAACGTATGAATCAAAAGTAGCAATGTACTGGGACGATGATCCCCCTACTATTTTACTTCCAGACTTTGTCAACGATGTGACAGTCATGTGATGAAAGAAAGTGAGCCGAATGGCATTCCCTCAAAAAAAGAAAAGTAAAACCCAGCCACGTACAGACCCCTACACCGATTTGACCAGAGTCGCCGTATCTCCCTCGTATGCATCCTGATTAGCTGGATCAAGCATGATTGAATTATTGATTGAAGCTCTATAATCATCATGCTTTCAGAGATTTTTGTTGCCTGAAACTTCTTCAGTGTCACATATTCGCTACAGAGACAGTTGCCGGAAAGTTCAGAAAGACTTCGTCTCTGCTTTGTTGCCGCTGACAAATTTCAGAAACTGGAGAGTAGTACATCTCGAGTGATCTAGCGTCATACTAGATTACTAGTCTACTACACCTGTCCTACCTCGGTGATCTCGATGTCGTCCTCATCGTCCTCCCACACGCCGACGGCGGCGGTGAAGGCGGTGGCGCCGGCGACAACCACGACGGCGAAAACAAGCGGGACGACCACGTCGGGCACGGTCCGGCCGAAGAGGCCGGCGGGCACGCAGACGGCGTCCCACGGCGGGCCGTCGAGCGGCAGCCCGATGCTGCCGCCAGCGAAGCTGCCATCGGGGCATGCCCTGGTGAGCGGCGCTCCCGGCGCGACGCCCCAGACGTAGGCGAGCTCGGGCGCGAGAGCCGCCACGGCCACGGACATGGCGGCGACGGCGGACCACGTGGCCGCGTAGAGGAGCAGCGGGCGTGGGGCGAGGAGGCCGGCGAGTGAGGGGAAGTTGGACGCCATTGCTGGAACGTTGGTACTCTGTAGTCTGTCACAGAGGTTTCCTCGTCGTGGGGAGGGCCGCGCGAGCGAGATGTATATACGTACATAGCAGAGCGGAGCAGGTGGCACTCTCCAATTGTCTGGGGTTTGTGTGTTTTGGGTGAAGGGGATTTGGCGGGAGCAGAGCAAGTTCGATATCTACTCCGCTCCCCACTTCAGCTGCTCCTATGGAGTTTCATGTTTACAGATGGAGGAACTGGAATGCATGCACAAGGATTACATTCTGCCTATGGATGCTCTTGCTTTTGCATGCCATGAGGCAGTTCTAACTTCCAACTCTAAAATTTTACTACTTATTAGACACTAGATTATATATTTTTTTGATTGAGAAAGTAAAGACAAAACTTCATTGAATTTTTAAAAGTTAATCGACATTTTTAAAAAAGAGCTCATCTATTTTGAAAAAAATGCTCATGAATTTCTAAAAAAGGTTCATCAATTTTCAAGAAAAAGTTCATAAATTTTAAAAGAATCCGTGCATTTAATAACAAAGAAAAGAAAAAAATGAATAGAAATGTCCAGAAAAAACCCCGGGAGTTTCATGTTTACAGATAGAGGAACTGGAATGCATGCACAAGGATTACATTCTGCCTATGGATGCTCTTGCTTTTGCATGCCCATGAGGCAGTTCTCACATTGACCTCTAAAATTGTACTTTTGTTTTTTGAGGGAATCTAAAATTTTACTGCTCTAGTTCTTAATTTTTTTACTACTCCGTACTTATTAGACAGTAGATTATATTTTTTTTGATTGAGAAAGTAAAGACAGTAGGTTTGCTGCCAAACAAAACCAGCACACACGAACATGCCAGATCCGGGCCTAGCAGCCCCGCATCTATGGCCAGCCCACCTCCACGGCCCTAGCCACACTGCACCTATATCGAATTTGTAAAAACTTCATTAAATTTGTAAAAACTTCATTAAATTTGTAAAAACAATTCATCAAATTTGGAAAAAGTTCAATGAAAAATTAAAAAATTTAATCAATTAAAAAAACTTCATTGAATTTTTAAATGTTAATCGATATTTTTTAAAAAGTTCACATAGTTGAAAAAAGCTCATCTATTTTGAAAAAAATGTTCATGAATTTCTAAAAGAAAGGTTCATCAATTTTTAAGAAAAATTTCATAAATTTTAAAGAATCCATGCATTTAAGAAAAAAGAAAAAGGAAAAGAAAAGAAAAAAATGAATAGAAACGTCCAGAAAGAAAACCCAGGACTGAAGAAAGAAAAGAAGGGAAAAAGGTGTTTCCCAACGATTGAGATAGCCTAGTGGTTAGTGCGCTTCCCTTTGAACGAGATGTTGCGAATTAGAAGCCGGTTGCTTGCAAAATTAATCGTCAGTTACTCGAGGTGTATCCACAATCGACCTTGATTGTGTTTGGTCAATTAGTAGTATGTGCAAATTTATGAATTCACGTTTAAAATTTGAGGAAAATGCTAGATGCTAAAAAATTTAAGTTCCCAAAATTAGAGGAGTAAAATTGGGGGAGGTTGAGATGCCTCTAATACCTGACGTTTCACACTTATGGTCTTTTTTAAGAGAAACTTATTATAGCCGAGGACGGTGTTTTAGTGCAAGGGAGATGCTCTCTAGAATGAACATTTTTCTTTTAAAAGCACAAAAAAAAAATCAAAACCAAAGATGAACAAGTTTTCTAGGTGCTTACAAAAGTTCGTTGCGATTTGGCATATGAGGAGCTCTCGACAAAAAAATAACGTTTTGAGAAAGGTTCAAAATCTTCGGTTTTGGAGCAACGATTTTGTTTTTTTATATCCCGACTCGTTCGATATGAAATCGCCATGAAATTTTGTATGTCCTTAGAAAACTTGTTCATATATGTATTTGATATGCAAAAGTTGAGATTTTTATTTTATTTTTACCTTTTTTATTGTACTGTTCATTGTAAGCGTATGTGCTCGTGATCAACTATGGACCGATTATAGTCTGGCTTCTGTATTTCCTTTTTTTTTTCGAGACAAAACCATCTGATCTTTATTACGTAATAAGAGTGCTTACATAATCAGAGGGTTCGAGAAGCCAAACATGCCTTACGTAGTGCTAAGAAAAGAGAATTTTGTGCGATACAATGAGCATCCACATTGCTCTCTCGCCTCTCATGACGAAATTCCACATGTCAGCTAAAGTCAGCCCACTTAAGTAACTCGAAATAATATGGCTTCTTAAGTAACTCGAAATAATATGGCTTTTGTATTTCCGTGGATCCTTCTCTTGGTCATAAAGTCAGCCCACTTACCTCACTCCCCGACTTGTAACTGTTCAGAGGCCCAGCCCAGATCCCCGACTGGCTGCCTGTCAGCTTCGTGCACGCGCTCAGGCCGCTCTCCCTCGTGCGCACCTCCGGCGCGATGCCGCCGGCGCCGGCGTACGCCGTCCTCGCTGCAGCATTCAGGACCAGAAACCCCATCTGCGGTACGAATATTATCCACCCCTCCTTTGCGCCCCTCGTTGCTCTGATTATTACCCCGCTCGTTCATCCCGCGAACGCGTCCGTCAATCCCATCTCGGCATCTCGCACACCCCAGATCCAACTTTGCCTGATTTCCAGACATAGCATTAGGAAAACAAAGCGACACGCTATGGAAACTCGAGAGAGATGCTAACTCAAACATTTCTGTGCGCAGTTCGGAGGTGGCTCGCTGTTCTTGGTTCGCGCACGCCGACTGTTCGACAGAATGCGTTGGAGGTGCTTCCTGATGCAGCCTTGCCTCCACGCTTCTACTCAAGCATTGTTCCACGAGGATTTGTTATCGGGTCACCAAGGCTTTGCCATAGCAGCGCTTCAGAGGAGGACTCCCCAGATGTCCGCGTCGGTGAAGTTCTGAGAGTTCTCAAGTCCTGTGCTGCCGATGCTGACCTCGGGAAAGACCTTCGTCAGTTTGCCGATGAGATGGACGAGGACGTTGTTCTGAAAGTCCTCCAGAAGCAGAGGTCCAATTGGCAGGTCGCGCTGTTGTTCTTCAATTGGGCAGCCGGGCTGCCTTCGCATGAGCACGGCCCAAGGACCTACACTGAGATGCTTGACATCCTTGGGCGGATGAAGAAGGTCAGGATTATGAGGCAGCTCTTTGATGAGATTCCTGAACAACGCTGTGGGTTGGTCGTAACGAATAGGATGTTTGCTGTCCTGTTGAACCGGTATGCAGGGGCGCACAAGGTGCAAGAAGCGATCGAGATATTCTACAAGAGGAAGGATTATGGGTTCGAGGTCGACTTGGTTGGATTCCAGATACTTCTGATGTCGCTCTGTCGGTACAAGCATGTTGAGGAGGCTGAGGCCCTCTTTCTCCAGAAGAAAGATGAGTTCCCTCCTGTCATAAAGAGCTGGAACATCATTCTTAATGGTTGGTGTGTCAAGGGAAGCCTGGCTGATGCTAAAAGGGTTTGGAACGAGATCATTGTATCTAAGCTTAAGCCGGACCTGTTCACATATGGTACGTTCATAAATGCACTAACCAAAGCTGGCAAACTTAGTACGGCTGTGAAACTATTCACAAGCATGTGGGAGAAGGGAATCAATCCCGACGTGGCAATTTGCAACTGTATCATTGACCAATTGTGTTTCAAGAAAAAGATTCCAGAAGCACTTAAGATTTTTGGTGAGATGAATGACCGTGGTTGTCAAGCAGATGTGGCTACCTATAACACTTTGATCAAACACTTCTGTAAGATAAGGCGGACAGAAAAAGTTTATGAGCTTTTGGATGATATGGAGAAGAAGGGATGCTCTCCAAACAATATGACATACACCTACATTCTGAAGACAACTGAGAAACCGAGAGATGTTATGAATTTGATCCAGAGGATGGAGGAATCAGGTTGTAGGTTGGACTCTGACACGTATAACTTGATATTGAACCTCTATGTCAGTATGAAATATGAGAAGGGGGTACAACAAGTATGGGAGGAGATGGAGAGGAATGGATCAGGTCCAGATCAGCGATCATTTACTATTATGGTTCATGGACTTCACTCCCAGGGACAGCTGGACCAGGCTCTGCAATATTACACGACAATGAAGTCGAGAGGGATGACTCCAGAGCCAAGAACCAGGATATTGGTGAAAGCAATACATATGAAGAAGGATGGGCCTGAGACTGAAGATCGATCCGCAAGTATGACTGGGAAAAATCTAAAATTGGATCGTCGATCAGGACTTTTCCATGTTCGTAAATAGTCACCAGAAGATTCTGCTTAATTATCCTAGCAGAAGATGCTGAGCATCTGGGCTTATGGAACATAATCCAGTGACTTACAACCTTGGGCTAAAAGAAATCCACAAGAGAAGAGTCATTGACAATACGATGCCCCAAAATTTATGCTGTTTGAAATGTCACAGCAGGATATGTTTAGGATGTATTGGGCAATTCAATTGCAGGTACTTGCTTAGATGCTTGTATTCTGGAGATGTATGTGTAATACTTACATATATTTGTTTCTTCATGCATTATATATGTCGTTCGTAGTTGTTTCTGACAAATGAAGACATAAAACAGGGATAAAAATATGTCCAAGTATCTTGTAAAATTGAAAAGGTCTGCTAAGTGGTGATACTGCTGGTTCTGTAGGGCGAATAATTACCAGTTGAGCTAATGGTACTAACTACAGAATTTTTAGTCCAGTCCAATTCACATTTGTGTGCTAAAGTTCTACCACCTTTTGTTTCTGTTGAATTTATAGATCTATCAATGAATGGCTACACAGTACACATGACTAATCATATCTAGTTGAGAACCACAGTTCCATCAGCCATTTTCACACAGCCAATGGGCAGAAGTTACTAGGTAAGCAATTGACCTGTCACTAATTGCTGCCATCGAACCACCCGCCGCTTATTTTCCCTGTTTTCTTTGTACTTTTCTATCTTATGCTCAAGATAAGGGAATGAGTGATTTATTTTTGTTAACAAAATTATACATATCAATTTTGCTTTTTGAGGAAGGAGCCACTGTCTGTAATTCTGTGATCTTTTCGTAGGCGGTTTAGGTTCCCAAAGTACTAGAGCTATTTATATATTGTGTTTTGGCGAAGATTAATTTTGTGGAGAAAAGTTAATATCATGATGCCAACTTCTGCATGTTTAGCAGGCTGACTAAATTGTGACAAATTAATTCAAGTTTTCAGGAATGGAAATAGCATGTTTGCTGATTGCTGAATTCAGGGAACCAAAAGCAATAGATAACCTTAGCATTGTGCTTTTTATTTGCTAAAATATATGCTCCATCATTTTGGATCCTAACTGAGGCAAATGATTTCACTAACCTTTTTCATTGAACAATTAACTGGAGTTTTTCTTTACCTATATAACATTGTGAAGTCAACCTCGAACTGTTGAGCAGGGGTGGGTTATTTATGAATATCTGAATCAATATTTTGTCTCGAGGCAGAAAGATACCATGTTTACCAAATGCTTATTGCTTAATCCCTGTAACCCATGACCATTGTAGGAGTAAGCTTGTTGGTAAGCTTTTCTAATACAGTTTGGGCGCAAGCAAAGTCACTGTCGCTAAGCCAACATTCAAAAGATAATAACAACCATAAGGATGTGTCATGCGTGAATACATTGAAAAGTGATGTCAAAAGGCAGCTGGGATTCTCACAAGCTGTCAATGTAGTACATGCCAGCTTTGACCAGGGAAGGCCTATAAGAAGGCCATGTCAGCAAGCTTTGTTGGTAGGTAGCAGGTACACATAAGCTTTTGCTGTCTTTCGCCCTTTCCATCATGACTGTACTAATGGCCTCCTGGAGAGCAACTCAGCAATGAGGCTGGCACACTGCTCGCGTTCAGGGCGGACTCAGCAGCCATGGCTCTGACCTGCTCATCTCCTGGAACGGTAGCATTAGCTTCTGCAGCTGGAGGGCATGGCATGTAGCCGTGGACAGTGGGTGGCGACGCTGAGTTGGCGAATACTTACCTATCTGGCGTGATTCCAGAGAGCATTGGTAAGCTGGTGAAGTTGGTTAAGCCTATATACAGCATTCGTTTGTCAGGCTTCATACCTTCATCACTTGGAAATCTTAGACAGGTTAGTAGTAGGTTTTATGCATACTATGGCAACTTGGAGGGACCAATTCCAGCAAGCCTGGGGAAGTTGAAGACTCTGTTTGTCCTTGACCTGTCAGCGAATCCTATATATCTAAGTAAGTTAGATTTTAAAGCTTCCTTCACTTTCCTTTTACTTGGACTTATCATACACTATCTGGACCGCTTCCTACTGAAGTTGCTAGCTTGGGATACCTTAATCAACTGACTCTATCAGGAAACCAATTGTCAGGTAGCATACCTGATGCCACTGGAAATTGCATGGTATTGGAACGACTGTTGCTGGATCTGAACTTGTTTGACGGAAGCATACCTCAATCTCTGAAGAATATAGAAGCTCTCACTTTTCTGAATCTCTGAATTTGCTGTCTGGTTGTATTCCTGATACAGTCTGGATCTACCAGAAATTTCATGGTTGAATGCGAAGCTCTGAGAAGAGCGCATCATTGCTGCCTCATTAAGATCATCACCTGTTGCTTCAGCATTAACCTTTGAGGTTAAGATTTCAAGGCTCTGGTTTTTTAGCTCATGCCCAATGGCAGTTTGGAAGGTTGGTTTCCTCCAAAATCTAAGTTGCCCACTCTGAGCCACGCTCAGCCTAGTCCTGAGACTAGATATTGATGTTGATATCATCAATACTTAGAACTATCTTCACAATCATTGCCAGCCACCAATAATTCATTCCGAACTCAAGCCAAGCAACAGACCTTGATGAAGAAACCGAACTTTGTTAAATTCAATTAGCTTTGCTGGAATAAGGGGTTCCATTGGTTGCAGTTCGTCGGATAACACACATTTCTTCTCATTATTTTCGCTTGTGAGTCTTGACTTCCAGCCTTTCATATCTTGCATATATTTAAATGATTGATTTGTAATAATCAAGTAAAACTAAAATTTAAATAATTGAATAGTATTGCCAAGGGTTTTGTCTTTTCTGATTTCTCACCTCCTTGGGATGTTTACATTATTAGCATACCAGTGCTTGTGACATCTTTTACTTGCATATATTTTCATGAATACTTCATAGTGATCAATATGTTAATACTCCCTCCGTCCCGAATTACTTGTTGCAGAAATGGATAAAAATGGATGTATCTAGAACTAAAATACGTCTAAATACATCCATTTCTACGACAAGGAATTCCGGACAGAGGGAGTACTTGAATAATTGTAGAGTATGGTGAAGGTTATATTGTTTCAACTCTTGGGCATTTTTCCAGTCTCAGTATACTATTGCTTGAGATGTTTACCAGAAGGAGATCTACTGATGACATGCTCAAATTGAACCTGCATAAATTTGATGTAGCTGCTCTTCCCAGCAGAGCCATGGAGATGACCCAACAGTTTGGCTGGATGAAGAAGCGAAAGACTTGGGTGCTGCCGATGTAAACAATATGGTAAGAACCAGAAGAGAGGAACATTTGGTTTCACTGATTGCGTTTGGTGTATCCTGCTCAGAGCGGAACCCATGAGTGAACACTGATGAGAGATGCTTCTGCGGAGAGACGATCTACTTACTTCGTTCCCTAATTTCTTTCAAGAGATCATAAGAAAAAGAATTGGGTTTCCGCCGAGCTGAAACAATATGTGGATGGTTCTAGTAAACCAAAACTATTGTTACCTCAGGATTTCCAGATCTCTAGTTGGGAATCCGGAAGTCAAAAATTAAGCCACCACTCCCAGTGTTTTGGAACAATAATTGAGGGTCATTTTCTTTCACTCTGAAGATATTTAGCACAGAATATGTACCATACGCGTGAACTGTTATTGAAATGACCGTCACTAACAGTGATCCGAATGACCAAAATTCTGGATGAAATAATAAGTATATACTGTATTGGAATGTTAAACATAATTTGGGGAATAAATACACCACAGCCTTACCTCTTTGTAATAAATAATTGATAAAGAGAGGTGCTTACTATTGTAGTTAAGGATTGCTGTATTTTTATCTGATAATAGGAGAGA